GCATTTTTTCCTGTTCACCTGGGTGTTAGTCGACTGTTGTGGGTCGCATCTTGGGGGACAAGATTAAGGACCCCAATGGAAATAAGTTAGACAGTCCTCAATGATGCAGTGGCTTTCTTGGGTTATCCTGAGTGGCTAACCATCTGGGGTTAATCGTTTCTCAGTAACTGTTTCCCGTTAAGCCACACCAACAACACACACTCCATATCTTTGAGTAGTACAGCTGACGGTGGTGGAGCAACAGCTGATGGTGGTGCAGCAGCAGCAACAGCTGACTGTGGCACAGCAACAGCTGACCGTGGCTCAGCAACAGCTGACCGTGGTACAAAAGTACATATTTCTCACCCTTTTTACCACAGGGTTGGCACTAGAAGCTTTCTTTGGGCCCATGGTGGCTCATTTAGCAGTTACCAGTGCTATAAACAATGAAATAATACAAAATGTATCGAATGTATGCATGCAACAGGCCACCCTGACTCGTAAACAATGAGGGCAGGGTAGCTGAGGCACTCAGGCTAGATGGGCAGGTTCGGGACGAGTCATGTTGGTCAGAAACACCTGATGGTGGTGCAGCAGCAGCTGACTGTGGTGCAGCAGCAGATGACTGTGGTGCAGCAGCAGCTGCCCATGGTTCAGCAACAGCTGTGTTGCAGCAGCAGCTGACCGTGGTGCAGCGGCAGCTGACAGTGGTGCAGCGGCAGCTGACGGTGGTGCAGCGGCAGCTGACGGTGGTGCAGCGGCAGCTGACGGTGGTGCAGCAGCAGCTGACGGTGGTGCAGCAGCAGCTGACGGTGGTGCAGCAGCAGCTGACGGTGGTGCAGCAGCAGCTGACGGTGATGCAGCAGCAGCTGACGGTGATGCAGCAGCAGCTGACGGTGGTGCAGCAGCAGCTGACAGTGGTGCAGCAGCAGCTGACAGTGGTGCAGCAGCAGCTGACCATGCTCCAGCAGCAGCTGACCGTGGTTCAGCAACAGCTGGCCGTGGTGCAGCAACAGCTGACGGTGGTGCAGAAGCAGACTGTGGTGCAGCAACAGCTGACAGTGGTGCAGCAACAGCTGACTGTGGTGCAGCAGCAGCTGACCGTGGTACGACAGTACGTTATTTCCCACCCTTTTTACATATGATCGCTTGAGAGATGGTATCTCCTGCTATCTGTTTTTCGTTTATCCACACCAAAAACAGTCTCTCAACATCTTCAAGTACTTGCGCTCTCTGTTTCAAAAACTAACTTGCACCTTTTGCAAGAGCAGCTTCATTGATTGCCGTTTTGTTGGCCACAATAGTAGCGATGGTTGATTGGGGTATGGTATACAACCTGGCCAGCTCCGAGACACGCACTCCACTTTCGTACCTAATAATTATCTCTTTCTTCATTTCCATAGTAATTTTCACCCTTTTTACCACAGGGTTGGCACTAGAAGCTTTCTTGGGGCCCATGGTGACTTATTTTGCAGCTACTATCACTAAAAACACTGATATGAAATGTACCAGATGTATGTGTGGATGCAACTGCACTGGCTGGCTTGTAAAAACTGGCACCCACCGGGCAGCCGAGGTGCGCTCGCCACACGTGGGACGCGTCCCGGACAAATCGCTTGAGGCGAGTTTTTTAGCATGAGGCAAGGCAAAATTTTTGCGTTAAAATGTATCGTATTGCAGATTTAAGGTAACGCGATGCCATCGTAAGGCGGAGGCCCACTGTATATAATATTTTTTTTTGAGCTAAGACGCCAGGTCAGACCATACCACGGGTGGGGTTAGAACCCACGATCACAAAGTCATAAAACTCAAGATCTAGGCAGGTACCCACAACAACCAAGATTTTTTTTTTTTTTAACAAGTCGGCCGTCTCCCTCCGAAGCAGGGTGACCCAAAAAGAAAATACTTTCATCATTCAACTCTTTCACCTCACTCACACATAATCACTGTTTTTGCAAAGGTACTCAGCTTAGAAGCATATACGTATAAAGATACACAACATATCCCTCCAAACTGCAAATATCCCGAACCCCTCGTTTAAGAGTGCAGGCATTGTACTTCCCGTTTCCAGGACTCAAGTACAGCTATATGAAAATAACCAGTTTCCCTGAATCCCTTCACTAAATATTACCCTGCACACACTCCAACAGATCGTCAGGTCCCAAATACCATTCGTCTCCATTCACTAATATCGAACACGCTCACGCACGCCTGCTGGAAGTCCAAGCCCCTAGGCCACAAAACCTCCCTTACCCCTTCCTTCCAACCTTTACAAGGACGACCCATACCCTGCCTTCCTTCCCCTACAGATTTAAATGCTCTCCATACCATTCTACCTTGATCCGTTCTCTCTAAATGACCAAACCACCTCAACAACCCCTCTTCAGCTCTTGACTAATACTTTTATTAACTCCACACCTTCTCCTAATTTTCTGCATGATATTTACACCACACATTGCCCTTAGACAGGACATCTCCACTGCCTCCTCGCTGCTGCATTCACAACCCAAGATTCACACCCATATAAGAATGTTGGTACAACTTTACTTTCATACATTTCCTTCTTTGCCTCCATAGATAATGTTTTTTGTCTCCATATATACCTCAACGCACCACTCACCTTTTTTCCCTCATCAATTCCATGATTAACCTCATCCTTCATAAATCCATCTGCCAACACGTCAACTCCCAAGTATCTGAAAACATTCACTTCTTCCATACTCCTCCTCCCCAATTTGATACCCAATTTCTCTTTATCTAAATCATTTGATACCCTCATCATCTTACTCTTTTTTTATGTTCACTTTCAACTTTCTACCTTTACACACACTCCCAAACTCGTCCTCTAACCTTTGCAATTCTTTCTTTAGAATCTCCCATAAGCACAGTATCATCAGAAAAAAATAACTGTCAATTACCATACTGTATTTTATTTCCTATAATTTAATCCCACCCCTCTCCCAAACACCCTAGCAGTTACTTCTTTTACAACCCTATCTATAAATATATTAAACAACCATGGTGACATTACACATCCCTGTCTAAGACCTACTTTTACCGGGAAGTAGTCTCTCTTCTACACACCCTAACCTGAGCCTCACTATCCTCATAAAAACTCTTTACAGCATTTAGTAACTTACCACCTATTCCATATACTTGCAACATCTGTCACATTGCTCCCCTATCTCCACTATCATATGTCTTTTCTAAATCCATAAATGCAATAAAAACTTCGCTATCTTTATCTAAATACTGTTCACATACATGCTTCAATGTAAACACTTGATCTACACATCCCCTACCCACTCTAAAACCTCCTTGCTCATCTGCCATCCTACATTCTGTCTAACCTCTAATTCTTTCAATTATAACCCTACCCATACACTTTTCATGGTATACTCAGTGAACTTATTCCTCTATAATTTTTACAATCTCTTTTGTCCCCCTTCCCTTTATATAAAGGGACTATACATGCTCTCCGCCAATCCCTACGTACCTTCCCCTCTTTCGTACATTTATTAAACAAAAATACCAACCACTCCAACACTATATCCCCACCTGCTTTTAACATTTCAGTCATGATCCCGTCAGTTCCAGCTGCTTTACCCCCCTTTTCATTCTACGTAATGCCTCAAGCACCTCCCCCACACTCACATCCTGTTCCTCTTCATTCCTAAAAGATGGTACACCTCCCTGTCCAGTGCATGAAATTACCGCCTCCCTTTCTTCATCAACATTTAAAAGTTCCTCAAAATATTCTCGCTATCTACCCAAAACCTCCCTCTCCCCATCTACTAACTCCCCTACTCTGTTTTTAACTGACAAATCCATTTGTTCCCTAGGCTTTCTTAACTTGTTTAACTCCCACTCTATCATCTGCTCTTCTTTTGCACTCTCTCACCACTCTCTTCACCTTTCTTTTACTCTTCATATACTCTGCTCTTCTTATAACACTTCTGCATTGTAAAAACCTCTCATAAGCTAACTTTTTCTCTTTTATCACAACCTTTACTTCAGGATTCCACCAATCACTCCTCTTTCCTCCTGCACCCACCCTCCTATAACCACAAACTTCTGCCCCACATTCTAATACTGCATTTTTAAAACTATTCCAACCCTCTTCACCCCTCCCCCCCCCACTGCTCATACTTGCACCAGTCCACCTTTCTGCCAATATACGTAGTTGTTTATATCTCACCCGAACTTTCTCCTCCCTCAGTTTATACACTCTCACCTCCCTCTTACTTCTTGTTGAAATTTTCCTCTTTTCCCATCTACCTCTTACTCTAACTGTAGTTACAACTAAATAATGATCTGATATATCAGTTGCCCCTCTATAAACGTGTACATCCTGGAGCCTACTCATCAACCTTTTATCCACCAATACATAATCTAACAAACTACTTTCATTACATGCTATATCATGCCTTGTATATTTATTTATCCTCTTCTTCATAAAATATGTATTACTGTTTACTAAACCTCTTTCTACACATAACTCAATTAAAGGCTACCCATTTTCATTTACCCCTGGCACCCCAAATTTACCTACTACTCCCTCCACAACATTTTTGCCCACTTTAGCATTGAAATCCCCAACCACCATTACTCTCACACTAGGTTCAAAACTCCCCACGCATTCACTCAACATTTCCCAAAATCTCTGTCTCTCCTCTACGCTTCTCTTTTCTCCCCATGGATATAAAAGGAAAAGTAATAAGACCAAGAACTATTAAGATAAAATCAAAGAAAACTCAGACGAGTGTATATAAATAAACATGTACATGTATGTGTAGTGTGACCAAAGTTTAAGTAGAAGTAGCAAGACATACCTGAAATCTTGCATGTTTATGAGACAGACAAAAGACACCAGCAATCCTACCATCATGTAAAACAATTACAGGTTTCCGTTTTACACTCACTTGGCAGGACGGTAGTACCTCCCTGGGCAGTTGCTGTCTAGCAACCTACTACCAGGATTTATGTACATAATAAAAATATTAAGAAATTACTGTACTCACATCTGAAGATCTTCGGCCCAATAGTAGATAGGTAGCATATACATCATCATATTTCTGACTTTTTAAACTCTCTTCAATTTCCGCTCGTGAGTAACCCATTTCATTTAGGATCTCGATTCTTTTTAGGTCATCATAGTCCATTACAGGTTCTATATATGGCTTAAGTTCATCATCTTCATAACCAATATTCATCCATCTATCTTTCATTATTGTCTGGAAAAAAAAAAACTGTACTAGTAATGCAACACAAACACAACCACTGGGAAAACTGTAATCATTCCATGAACAACTAAAATAAATATGGGACAGAATAAGTACAACACGTACAAAAATGGCAAAGCTCCATGTATACTCCATGACAGTAAAGCTTTGCATCAAACTTTATACTGCAGGTTATCAATCAAGGAATACCTTACAGTAATTTCCAAACACTAAACAAAGATAAATAAAAAAAAGGGGGGAGGGATAGATTATTTTGATCATCATTAAACACACTGTTTTACCATAAGATAGTATATGGGAATACATCATACACAAAACTTAGATAGCATGTGTGTAGCCACAGAACTGATCAGAACCTACATCTACTGCCTACTGATATCAAGAGCCAAATGATACAAAAGAAATTCTAGTGTGTTCCATAGAAGCTGGGAAGGGTGAACGAGACCACTGTTCAGTTACCATTATAAATTCACACGTAATATGTTCCAAATACTACAACACTGGACCTGTGGGAATTGTGCATACTTTTGCATCCTGCCGGTGAGGGCCTTGCCCCCAACACCAAACTACAAGAGTATCACAAATATTATCATTTCATACTGCAGTGAATTATATTTTTTGATGGTAGGTAATACATATTCTGGGCACAAAATAACAAAAAATTTGGGTAATGCAAAACTGGTTATCAGACTGGAGGGAGTATGGAGGAAGTGAATGTATTAATATATATGAGTGAGCCTGTCAGCAAATGGGTCTGTGAAAGACGAGATGAACCACAGAACTGAGGGGGAAAAAATGCAAGTGTGCACTGAGGAGTTTGTGGAAACCGAGAACATTATCCATGGAAGCAAAGGGAAAATGTATGAGAGAATAGTGGTACCAATGCTCTTATATGAGTGTGAAGAATGGTGGTGAATGTTGCAACAAAGAGAAGGCTGGAGGCAGTGGAGATGTCATGTCTGAGAGCAAAGTGTGGTGTGAAATTATGCAGAGAATATGTAGCTTGGAGATAAGGAGGTGGTGCAGGGTTTCTAAAAGCATTATCCTGAGGGCTGATCAAGGTGTTGAGGTGGTTTGAACAGTCAGAGTAAATGGAACTAAACTGAATGATTTGAAACGACATACAAATAACCCGCACATAAAAGAGAGAAGCTTACGACGACGTTTCGGTCCGACTTGGACCGAAGGTGGAGCAGGACGGCTATATATAGGCAGGAAGAGGTGGTGGTAGTAGTAGTAGTAGTAGTAGTAGTAGAACAAGAATTGTATATAATGAATGATTTGGAGGACGTGTACAGCAAGGGTTCATTCACCGCTCAAGAAAAATGAAAAACCAGGATTAAAATTCATTGAAGTTCAATGCTGAATTACTGTATTTCTAAGAAGAATAAATACTGTAAAACAATTAGAAAATTTTTAAGAATTCTGATCCCTTTTACACTTTTAACCTCTTAAAAATGAAGCAAAATTTTACTTACCTCTAATGATGCTCTTCGTGCTGGGTTAAGCACCAGGAACTTCTTGAGCAGATTTTCACAGTCAGTGGACATGTAGAAGGGTATACGATATTTACCCCTTAATACCCGTTCTCGAAGTTCTTTTAAGTTAGATCCGTCAAAGGGTAATGAACCAGAAACTAAAGTGTAGAGAATTACACCCAAAGACCAAACATCTACTTCTGGACCATCGTACTTTTTGCCTGCCAAAATCAAAATATATAAATTAGAGTACAGGTAGAGAGGAGGTTAAAGTTATACATCGTTAAAACAATTATACTACACATATACAGCCTCTCTTCACTTAGCGACATACTCGTTTACCGACAACTCAGACTTACGATAGGCTCTCTGACCAGTATGCATACCTAAATGTATATTAGAGCTGATTTCCTCTACTCTGTTTATTACAACATACACTACACTATTGTATAAACATTTAAAAATATACCAGAAATATTATAACTGGAGCAAAGGTGATATTAAAACAGTATCAAAGATGGCTGACACAAACCCACTACCATTATAGTATGCTCCTCACTTAGTGACGAATTCATTTACAGACGTGGTCTTAGGAACAGAACTCTGTCGTTAAGTGAAGAGAGGCTGTATTAATGTTGTACTCAAATGAACATTATCAGTGTCATGCCATATCTAGCCAAAATGAACACAAAATGCACAAATTTTTATAAACTTACAACACTATCTTCACTTTTGTGGAAGAGTCTGTAGGGCTTAAGTGGAGCTGAAGGAGACTGAGGTAACAGGGAGAGGGAAGGAATAATATATGTAAGTAGGTAGATTGGAGGAGGATGAGAATTAAAGGCTATGAGGATTAGAGGGATAGGGATCACCAAAACTCGCTATGTGGCTCCCTCCACCTCACTTTCTAATACGGTCACTCTGGCCGATCCGGTTTGTTTACATTCTCTGTGAGCACAGCGTCTCTCCATTATGTCTGGAAACTTTCCCAAATCTCAATTGTTTTTAAAATATATTTCATATTTTATACAGCGGACCCCCGGATATCGGCCAAATCGGATTTCGGCTAGCAACTCTGAAATAAGCCTTATTGGACGCGTTCACCCACCACTCCGCCACATGTGCAAGTCAGTCTGGCTGTTTCTCTCTCTCAGTGAGTGAGCAACCCTGCGCATTCATCCAAACATTTTATTATAATCCATTTTTTTTTTTTTTGTGGTTGATTATTGAGTGCAACTACGAAGTAAGCCACCATGGGCCCAAAGAAAGTTTCTAGTGCCAGCCCTTTAGTAAAGAGAGTGAGAAACACAATAGAACTCAAGAAATTGCAGCGAAGTATGAAAGTGGTGAACATGTGCTCCAGCTTGCCAGGATGTATGGCAAATCCAAATCAACAATCACTTCCATCCTTACAAAGAAAGTAGAAATCAAGGAAGCTAATGTTGCAAAAGCGGTACATATGCTAACGAAACAAAGATCACCAATAATCAAAGATGTGGAAAGTTATTGTTGGCGTGGATCAACGATAAACAGTTAGCGGGAGATAGTGTTGTGGAGTCGATCATTTGTGAAAAGACAAGGCAGTTACATGCGGATCTCGTGAATAAAATACCTGGAATGAGTGCTGCTATTAGTGAATTTATGGCCAGCAAAGGCTGGTTTGACAGATTTAAAAAGTGTAGTGGCATACACAGTGTTATAAAGCATGTCAAGGCTGCAAGTTCAGACAAACGTGCGGCTGACGAATTCGTGTATGAATTCAAGAAGTAGATAGAGGCTGAAGCATTTGTCCCCCAACAAGAGTTCAATTGTGACAAAACAGCCCTCTTTTGGAAGAAAATGCCAAAGAGAACCTACAACACGCAGGAGGAAAAGGCACTACCAGGACACAAGCCTATGAAGGATAGGCTTACTCTCTTGTTTTATAACAGAAGTTCTTGCTTCCTAACACCAGTCCTCTCATACAGTTCATGGACCAGCAGGTCATTTTTAACTTCAAAAACTCTACAAGAAAGTAATTTTTCAAAGGTGCTTTGAAGTGACCTCGGACACTGAACTGACCCTAACAGAGTTCTGGAGGAATCACTTCAACATCCTCCATTGCGTGCGCCTTATAGGTAAGGCTTGGCATGGAGCGACTTCCAGGACTTTGAACTCTGCTTGGAGAAAATTGTGGCCAGAATGTGTCCTCGACAAGGATTTTGAAGGGTTTGAGGCTGACCCTGAACCCTGTCGACCATCTGCCTGTTGTGGAATCTATTGTCTCTTTGGAGAAGTCCATGGAGTTGTGAGTGAGTGGCAAGGATGTGGAAGAGTTGGAGGACCACCACAAGGAAGAGCTGCAAGAGCTTCATCTTGAACAGCAACAGACCACAGCTGAGGAATTTGCTTCAGAGGAGGAAAAGAGAGGGGAGACTGAGCCTTCTTCAGTGATTAAGGACGTGTGCACAAGTTGCAAAGTTCTGTGGAGAAATATCACCCTGACCAAGCTCAAACAAGCCATATCTGCAACATGTTAAGTGGCAAAACCATGTCCCACTTCAGGCAAATCTTAGAGATGCCAGAAACAGACCTCTCTGGACAGTTATTTTGTGACATGGGTGAAGTGACTCTCAAGCTGGTCCTAGTGCCAGTAAAAGACAAAGAGGAGGAGTAACCCCAGATAGGGACTTGATTCCTGAAGCCCTTATGGAGGGGGGATTCTCCTTCCAAACAAAAACCCCAACTTCCTCTCCCTTCCTCGCCTTCTTCAGTACGACAACAAGTGTCGTTAATAAAGGTATGCAATGTTCATTTGTCATTAAAGTTAGTGCTTTATATTTCTTTCTCATTGTTTTCTGTATGTAAAACTATAGTTAATCTTTAAAAAATGTATTTTTTGTTAATATTTTTGGGTGTCTAGAATGAATTAATTCTATTTACATTAATTCTTTTGGGAAATGTTACTTTGGTTTTCGGCCTTTTCGGATTTAGGCCAACCTTCTGAAACAGATTACAGCTGAAATCCAAGGTTCAATTCAATATTTCTTTCAACACACTGGGCGTATCCCACCGAGGCAGGGTGGCCCAAAAAGAAAAATTAAAGTTTCTCCTTTTACATTTAGTAGTAGGTTGGTAGAAAGCAACCACCCATGGAGGTACTACCGTCCTGCCAAGCGAGTGAAAACCAAAGCCTGTAATTGTTTTACATGATGGTAGGATTGCTGGTGTCTTTTGTCTGTCTCATAAATATGCAAGATTACAGGCATGTCTTGCTACTTCTACTTACACTTAGGTCACACTACACATACATGTACAAGTTTATTTATACACACTCATCTGAGTTTTCTTTGACTTTCTCTTAATAGTTCTTGATCTTATTACTTTTCCTTTTTATATCCATGGGGAAGTGGAATAAGAATCTTTCCTCTGTAAGCCATGCGTGTTGTAAAAGTCAACTAAAATGCCAGGAACAATGGGCTAGTAACCCCTTTTCCTGTAAAGATTACTAAAAAGAATAAGAAGAAGAAAATTGTCAAAGTGGGAAGTCTGAATGTGCATGGATGTTGTGCAAATGATAAGAAAGAGATGATTGTGGATGTTATGAATGACAAGAAGCTGGATGTCCTGGTTTTAAGTGAAACAAAGCTGAAGGGGGTGGGAGAGTTTCAATGAAGAGGAATAAATGGGATTAGAGTAAGAGCTAAAGAAGGAGTAGCAATAATGTTGAAGGATAAGCTATGGCAGGAAAAGAGGGACTACAAATTTATTAATTCAAGGATTATGTGGAGTAAAATAAAGATTGGATGTGAAAAGTGGGTTATAGTAAGCGTGTATGCACCTGGAGAAGAGAGAAGTGTAGAGGAGAGAGAGAGATTTTGGGAAATGTTGAGTGAATGCATGGGGAGTTTTGAATCAAGTGTGAGAGTAATGGTGTTTGGGGATTTCAATGCTAAAGTGGGTAAAAATGTTGTGGAGGGAGTAGTAGGTAAATTTGGGGTGCCAGGGGTAAATGTAAATGGGGGGCCTTTAATTGAGCTATGTGTAGAAAGAGATTTGGTAATAATATATATTTTATGAAAAAGAGAATAAATAAATATACAAGGTATGATGTAGCACGTAACGAAAGTAGTTTGTTAGATTATGTATTGGTGGATAAAAGGTTGATGGGTAGGCTCCAGGATGTACTTGTTTATAGAGGGGCAACTGATATATCGGATCATTATTTAGTTATAGCTACAGTTAAAGTAAGAGGTAGATGGGAAAAGAGGAAGGTGGCAACAACAAGTAAGAGGGAGGTGAAAGTGTATAAACTAAGGGAGGAGGAAGTTCGGGTGAGATATAAGCGACTATTGGCAGAAAGGTGGGCTAGTGCAAATTTGAGTAGTGGGGGGGTTGAAGAGGGTTGGAATAGTTTTAAAAATGCAGTATTAGAATGTGGGGCAGAAGTTTGTGGTTATAGGAGGGTGGGGACAGGTGGAAAGAGGAGTGATTGGTGGAATGATAAAGTAAGGGGTGTGATAAAAGAGAAAAAGGTAGCTTATGAGAGGTTTTTACAAAGCAGAAGTGTTATAAGAAGAGCAGAGTATATGGAGAGTAAAAGGAAGGTGAAGAGAGTGGTGAGAGAGTGCAAAAGGTGAGCAGATGATAGAGTGGGAGAGGCAATGTTTCATAAATGTATGAAAGAGGGAAATGTACCTAAGGATTGGCGGAGAGCATATATAGTCCCTTTATATAAAGGGAAAGGGGACAAAAGAGATTGTAAAAATTATAGAAGAATAAGTTTACTGAGTATACCAGGAAAAGTATACGGTAGGGTTATAATTGAAAGAATTAGAGGCAAGACAGAATGTAGGATTGCAGACGAGCAGGGAGGTTTCAGAGTGGGTCGGGGATGTGTAGATTAAGTGTTTACATTGAAGCATATATGTGAACAGTATTTAGATAAAGGTAGGGAAGTTTTTATTGCATTTATGGATTTAGAAAAGGCATATGATACAGTGGATAGAGGAGCAATGTGGCAGATGTTGCAAGTATATGGAATAGGTGGTAAGTTACTAAATGCTGTAAAGAGTTTTCATGAGGATAGCGAGGCTCAGGTTAGGGTTTGTAGAAGAGAGGGAGAACACTTTCCGGTAAAAGTAGGTCTTAGACAGGGATGTGTAATGTCACCATGGTTGTTTAATATAGTTATAGATGGGGTTGTAAAAGAAGTAAATGCTAGGGTGTTCGAGAGAGGGGT